AGGAGGGTGGAGAGGCCTGCCCTGCCCTGTGGCTGTGAGGAGGGAGGGCAGGCCTGCCATGCCCTGTGGCTGTGAGGGGCTCCCCTGTGAGGAGGAAGGAGTACATGGGAGCAGACTTGCTGCAGCTGCTGAAATGTCAGCTTATCTACCCTATGGTTTTTCTCCCAGACTCCAGTAGTTCTCAGCTTCTTTCAAGTCCTGTGGACTAGGGATCCACAAAAGGAAACCCCAGTTTCACTGAGAATTATAAAAAGAGAGGAAGAAGAGAGGGAAGAAAGGAGGGAGGAAAGGGCACTTAGCTGTCTGTGTCCCATGTAAATCTGTTCCACATTGTCGCACTCCTGGCCTGAGTGCCCTGACCTGACCACAGAGAAGCCAAGTACAGCCCCCTGGAAGGTTGCTGGTCCAGGAGCTGCTCTGGCTGTTTTTACCAGAGAAGCCAGACTGAGCCTGACTCCTGGTGCCCTTCTCTCTTCCTCCTTTGTGAGTAACAATTCCTAAGCTGCTTCAGCGCTCAGCTTCTGTTCTCCTTCCAGCCTTCCAGCCTACCCAGAAAAGGCCCTTTTCTTATTTGCTGCCAGAAATCTTTGGAGAAAAGAGACAGAACTAGACTATTTGCTTGGCTTCCAGGGTCAGAGTTTTACCATCAAAACACACTGAACTAACATTTTCCTGCTCTGATAAATGCCACTTTGTGCGTGTTGTAACTGAGCAGGCAAGTCGGGGGCTAGAATCAGTCTTTCTCGGGAATTTTGCTCTTTTATTATGACCCCAAGGGAGACATATAATGATATGGCTATCTTTGTGCATTATATGTAAAAAAAGACACACTGGAAGGCCAAGAAAGAAAGAGAGAGAGGGCGAGAAAAGAAAGGGAAACCCTAAAATTCCATAGAACTGATGAAGCAAAACTAGTTGCTGAGAGTGGTCAGGCCGTTGATAAACACTTGTGCTCACCCTCACGCCAGCTGGAGGCCCTTCTGCTCCGACCCAGAGCACGTCTCCACCCACTGCAGAGGAGACTGTGCAGGACTCAGGGAAGGCTGGTGGTCAGCACTGCGAGTCTGCGTGGAAGAAAACCGTCACCCCAGACTCTCAGAAAGTCCTCCACCGTGAGTTTGTGGTGACAGCATCTGTTAAAGCTGAAACGGGTGTAAGGGAAGATTTGCTTGTGTTTGTTTCTGAGGTCTGTGACTGTCAGTGTCAGTACAGGACTGCGTATACTCTACATACTACCGGTTTAGCTTATACTGTGTGAGATCTGTACCATAAAACATGGCAGATAAATTCAGTATTGAAGCAAATAGTACTGCGCAAGTGAACCTGCAGTTCAAGGGTATTTTTCAAGAGTTGCTCATGAATGCTTGGAATTGTCCTGTAAATCAGATGCTTTGTGTAAGCGGGACTTTGATAAACTGAGGTTATTTGTAGCTCTAATCACATGCTTTATCCATGTGAGAAGAGTAATAGTAAAGGCACTCATGAACCTGAAACACTGCATGGCAACATGGCTTCTCCTGCTTCTCCCAGTTCATGAAACACTTCCACACATTATTTTATGCAACCTTTCAAAGCAGGCGTGCAGGCAGTGTCCATCTGTAATCCACACAGCTAAGCCTCCGAGAGGCTAAGTGGCTCATCTGTGGCCTCGGAATCCGGAAGTCCCCTTGCCTGTGCTTCTGATCGGCTCTCTCAGGAGCTCCCCCTCCTTCATCCCAAAGCTTCAGACAGCTGCGTGGGCGCCCTGCACGCCTCCACGTGCTGGCTGCCTGGGATCTGTGTTTACGGGAGGCTGGCGCGGTCAGCTGCTTTGACCTGGACATTTTCTGTCACGTAGATCTCCTGCCCTCTTCCTCACTCTGCAGAAACAGCTGTCTGCTGACGGCACAGCAGCACAAGGCTCTCAGTGTCATCCTTTGCTATTTGCTGTGCAGTGGGCGTGCTGATCAAGCCATGCCCTTTTGCAGAGGGAGAGAAGTAAGAGCCCGTGAATTTAAATACTTCTCTCAAGATCAACAAGTGTCCAGAGTTGAGATGCAGACCAACGATTTGGTCCAACATCAGAGACTTGCTTTATTCGCCAGGAAAGGCCTTATAAATCTTAGTGCTGTTAGGTTAACTGTGAGAGGAAAAGGAAGCTTTGTATTGTCAGGGACCCAAAGGAGAATTATGTTGGTTTTCCGAGCCACATAGCTCAAAGGTTGGAAACCATTGACAGTTGCCCCGGTTACCCTGAAAACATGCTGGAAAATGACACAGCAAACGTTCATATAGAATCGCTCTTCATGTTGGATGAAGAGCTCTTCCGTCCCAGCTCAGAGCACAGGCTCATGCAGGGCTGGAGAGCTGCCCAGCTCTGCCACCAGGGTGCTTCCTTAGACGGAGTGAACTCTCACCTCCAAATAAATTTAGTCTTCTGGGGAATTTTCCATTAAATGTTTGTGATGGAGAAGAGTGGAGCAGAAGTGGGGGTGCTCTCAAGTATTGGCTAACAGCACCTGCAGCTTCTGAGTAGTCACCACTGGCTTGGGGTGCGGCTCCCTCAGCTCACCATGTTCCTGGGCTTCACTCTGAACCGTGGGGGGAATACACCCATGGGGGGTGGGAGAGAGAGCTAGTGATGAGTAGAGCCATTTGTGCACGGCTTTGTAGGTCTGTGAAATGATTCCAAAAGTGCGCTGTTGCCTTGCGGCTCCGCAGGTTTCCCCTTTGCCTGGCACTGGGCCTGTAGGCTCCTGTGTGCTCTGTGTGGAAATGTCTGCCCAGCAGCCTGGAGCTTCCTCAGCTGGAGTAAGCAGAGCAGGGTGCCCTCAGGTCCCTGGCTCTGGAGACAGAAGCTCACAGTTTCTCATTTGCTTGGTTTCCCACTTTGTCCATGAGGCCTCATCCTGCCCCTGGCGATGGAAAAAGAACATTTCCTATGCCTGCTGCTGGGAACTGCACTAAAACAGATGTTGAAGGATGAAGTTTCAGAATGGAGGCGGGTGTCAGTCACTGTAGTGTTTGTATCTGAAAGAATGTTCTCAAGAAGTTGCCAACCTTGCAGAGATTATTTTCTATGGCTTAACATTTCTGAGGCCATGTGTCAATTCAAGGACTTTGGACAAAAAGCCAAGTTCTCATGTTACTTGAAACTAAAATCTCTGCCAAATGATAAGGGTGTGGGGGGGTTTCTCCTTCATCCACAGAGCAGGGGCCAGGAAACTGTGGCCACGAGTCAGCTCTGGCCTCTGCTGTTTTTACAACTAAATTTTGTTGGAGCAAGGACACACCCATGCATTTATGTGGTGTGCACTTGCTGTTTCAAAAACAATATGAAGAAGAGAGGCAGAGGCATCCCGGCCTACATAGAGATGAAGGGAATTTACCCTCTGAGCTCCAGAGGTCCAGATATCTCAGTCCAGTAAAAGGAACTGACAATAAATAGCCTGGCAGCAGAAAAGGCAAGCAGCTGTGTTAATATGCACAGACAGTGCAGCGCAAGCCCTTCCACGTGTTTCTAAGAAAACAGGATTGAGAGACAGAGGACGGCAGGCCGGGGTGGGGAGGTCATAGAGCCCTTGAGGGTGCTGCTTCAGTCTGGCCATGCCCAGCGTACTTGCGGGTGATGCTTTGTGAGCCAGCATACAGAACGTCTGCACTATGACGTCTGCCCTCTTAGAGGAGGGGTTTGCAAGCCTGTAATTTTAGGGTTCTGTCAGTGTGCATATCTGCCTTACTGAATGCCAGCCTTGGGGCTGGAGGTGAGTTATTCAGCTGGCCAGTTTTCAGTGTCCTCACTTAGAGCATGGTGACCTGGGATCTGGCGCTTGCGTTGCCCTGACATGCTTGGAGCACAGAGGAACGCCCATGAACCCCGATGCTTTCGGTCATTGTCTCCCTGGTTCTGGTCTGTTCCCACTGCGGTGCACGGCTGTCCACTGTTGGGATTCTGCGCTTCCTGCTCTTCTTCCTGTCACAGGGCAGATCTGTGACAGCTAGTGAGGTCTCCCGCTGAGGGTGGGTGGGGTAAGGCACAGGAGCCGCCTGTCACAGCAGAAACCCCACAGCAGGTCAGCACGAGGGGCAAGGTGTTGAGCCTGAATCCCTGGGTTAGGCCCACTGCCCCTCTGCTCACTGGATGTGTGGCCTCACTCGGTACAATCCTCCTCTTTGCCCGAGTCTTCTGGGATTACAAACCTGTGGCACACGTAGCATGAGAAGCCATGCCTCCGAGTCAGACAGAAGGCGCTACCGCCGCCATCAGCAGTCTGCTCTGTGCAGAGGAGAGCGGAGAGAGCAAGCCGGAGCTGCAGGGGCTGCGCAGCATGGCCCCGTGCTTTCCGGGTCTTTGCTCAGCTGCCTGCGGGTTCTTCTTCAGCCATCGTGCTGAAATCCCCGTCGATTGCTTGGCTTCATGTAGCGTTCTGCGATTTACATGTGCTCTGCATTTAGCCTCCTCACTCACTCACTGTTTCCTCCCGTGTTCCGGGATAATTACAATCTTGATCTTCATAGAGAAGGTCTCAGTGTCTGCAGGGCTCATACCTACACAGCGTTCGTTCGTTAACTTACAGTGAGTGAGGGCTGGGCCTCAGGTGCGTTTGATCCCCCGCACCCGGGGAAAGGTAGAGGGGAGAGGAGACTCCCCATCACCTCTGACTCCACACAGTAACAAGTCAAAATCAACATTCTTCGGAGAACACTTACAATGCAGGAAAGATCAGGGTCTAGAGGACCATGTTATGGCCCCAGAGCACCCTGGATAGCTTGGGGGATGGCAGAAGCTGTCTGGAGCTGGAAGAGCAGGCATGGGGACCTCACACACCTGAGCGGCACAGGCACTGAGGTAACAGTAGCATGATGAACTCTACAGGAACAAGATCTGTAGCGGAACCACACATCTTTAAGGTGAAGTGTGAGACAGTAGGGCTCTGTGTGTGCTGGAGGCTGCTCTGGGCACTGAACACTGGGTTCAGTGCTGCTCACATCTGGGACACAGTTCACACAGGCTGTTTGGCCCCATGCAAGTAGGAAGGGGGCTCCCTGAGGCACAATGCATTCTTCTGAGCCTCTGTGCGCCCCTGTGGGTGGGGAAAGAGACTACGCGCTTTCAGAAATGTGATGCTGTGCCAAGTCCGGGGAAAGCGGGCCGGAGCCAGAGAGAGCCCTCAGCCACCCAGCCCGGGCAGCCTGGGGGGCGTTGGGAAATGCAGGTCCTCAGGTGGGCAGCTGGAGGCCCTTTACATTCCTCATCTCAGGTCCTCAGCGACCACTGTCCCCCGCCCCCCAGACGCTCCTCCAGGCTGCTGGGGTAGGACCTGCAGTGGGTCGGGCTCTGAACTCGCCTCGTGATGGAAGCCTGGGCTAGAGAATGTCCTCAGGGCCCCTGGGGGGCCACCATGCCCGCAGCTGTAAGAGTGAGGGAGCCTTCCTGAGTGGGTGCCTTAGGGAACCCACACATGTGTGACAGGGCAGGCGTCTGTGTTACTCTAGTAGCCTGCTTGGGAACCACCCCCTAGAATGAGCCCCAACCCACGGCGACCTTCTGTTGCTGTGAAGAGACACCATGACCAAGGCAGCACTTATGAGACAAGACATTTAATGGGGGCTGGCCTACAGTTTCAGAGGTTTAGTCCGTTACCATCATGGTGGAGAGCATGGTGGCGGCCAGCGGGTGCTAGAGCAGCAACTGAGAGTTCTGTCATGATGTGTACATGAAGAGAGGGCCAAGCATGAGCTTCTGACACCTCAAGCCCACCTCCAAGTGGGGCCTTCCTCCAGTGAGGCCACACCTCCTAATGGGGCTAACCTAATACTTTCAAATAGTGCCACTGCCTGGTGACGGAGCATCCAGGTCTGTGACCTAAAGGGGCCATTCTAATTCACACCACCACAGTGACCCCCAACCCACAATGACCCCTGACCCACAGTACCCCTGACCCACAGTGACCCCACACAGTGACCCCTGACCCACAGTGACCCC